AAACGTTAATTCACGTGAATATCCCTATCAATGAACGTAGAGTTAACTATTCATTAGATGTGAACCAAAAAGCGACTTATAATTGGATTTTAAAAATGCAATTCTTGTGTAGGAGTTGAGTAAAAGTCTTCCCATTATTGATACTTAAGTCTCGCTTTTTATTCGCGTTTTATTTGCAGATAATTTCATTTAAATAGCTTTTAATTAAAGAAATCTGCGTTAATCACGTTTCTATTCTTGGTGATTGTGTCAATGTTTATAATGAGCAACTGAGTGCATAAATTAATGTGCTAGTTTTAAATTATATTTTAAGTTTGTTTAATATATCATGATACTAAAAGAATTTATCTTTATATGTTATTAATTCTGTTTATTTATTACCGGGAATTTATTTCCTAGATAATTATATAAATTATATTTAAATATTTACATTTTCTATTAGTCGTTGAAATTGAAGTCAACATACATTAGAAATTAACACAAATTATAAAATCTAAAAAATCAAACATTTCACCGGTATATGAATAATATATAACTGACTCTAAAGGCTAATGTCATACTAAATCCCGGATCACTTTCAAATTCTTGATTTCGAAAGAATTATATAAACTCGCTTAATTTTTAATTTGAATTTCAATGTCATCTGTTGTGTTGCCTGAACCAAAAGGTAATGCCCATCCGACCGATACTATCGAGAATTAGTGCCCGGGTTTTAATCATACACAGAGAATATTCTGGATCACTTAAAATTCAAGGCTAGCGTCTAATGTAATCGCATGAATAGCTGGGAATAAATTATTCTGTGACTTAATTCTGGTCTAGAAATCCTTTTTTAATATAAATGAAAGGAATATTCTGTAAGATTATGCTCACAATAGAGTGAGAAAAGCGGAGATTTACATTATATAACAAATTAAGCGAAATGATGTAACATTTGTGAGATAACAGTATTAATAGATATTATGTTACAGAATATTCTGTCATTTAATATTCATACAACTGGCGAATATTAAAGTCATTAACTTTTTTATGGCAAAAAATCAATATTTATCACCCCATAGCCCCCGCAATATTTAGGTCCGGGCGCTTTCGCATTGTGCACTCATACCACCATAACATACGAGTGCAACGATACCGACACACAATGGCACTCCTATTATGACTATTATATGAGCGACAGTTTATGGTTTCTATCGATTGACCCAAATATACCATAAATGTGTTGTAAACGTCGGAAATAAACATAAGAAATAGAAAAATAAAATCAAAATAAAAGCCCAAAACAAGTGAAGAGATTTCTATAATTGAATTGAACGGCAAGAATAAACGAGGTATTGATTTCCAATTTATGGATATATTT